ATGGCGCCGTGACGGAAGGCCATGCCTATTCACACTCGAACTCCAGGCAAACCCTGGTGGATAGATCTCACGAGTGAATTCAACTCAGCAGTGAGCTCAAGAACTCAGCTGAAGCATCAAACAAATCAAAAGCTTTGCAGGAGGTCTCTCAATAGGCTCTGATTTCCTTGCTGCTGTTTGCTAGAAAAACGCCAAGCATCAAGCTATTTCCAGGATGAATCAGTGTACAGCTTGTACGATGGACTATGTCACATACTGCAAGTACTCCGACTTGGCGTTGCAAGTCGATTTCACAGCAATGCAGAAAGGTCTTCGTTGGTGCCAGCCTTCTGCAATCCCCTGGCACCCCCTGCAGCTGTTGCACCACATTGACATACGATACAACTGCAAGCAAGCACTCTCGTTCTAGTTTGGGTTCCCTACACACACACACACAAACACACACGCACGGACAGACACACATGGACACAGGCAGAAAGATACACACCCACGTACACCTACGCACGCGCACGCACAAACACACGCACGCACGCAGAGACAGACAGACAGTCCAGACAGACAGGCAGGCAGACGCACGGAGACACAAACAGAGACAACGACGAGTGACGGTGGGCGCCTCCTTTGCGGAGTTTTGAGAGATCCACGGCTGGGCGCCGTTTCGTCGGGCCTGGGGCTGTGCAGACTGGAGCTCAGGCAAAAGCTTAGCTGGGGTGCTGGCCTCGCACTGCCTGGGGCCGCAGAGACTTCTTTGAGGCTGCCGTTTGCTTTGGCTTTGGCTTCTTCTGTTGCTCTCTGCCCTGCCTGGCGCAGCTCCGCGGCGGCCGCTCGGACGGCCGCCTCCAGGTCCTCTCCGGGAGCGGCCTGCGACCGACTGCGCGGCGCGATGCTGTAAGAACTCGAGTGGCGAAGGCCGCTCTGAGGGGCCACGAATCTCGTCAAGGCTCATGGTGCTAGGGTGCTAGTGGCAGTGCGCGAAATGTACGTGGCATTCTCATGCTCGGTTGCCAGCGATCTGTATGGCGAAGACAGATGAAGAGGGGGGAGAGTCTGGCTGGCTGGTACGTTCTCCTTTCGGAGTCTGCGCACAAGTCTACAGAGCTTGAGGCTTCACCTACGAGTAAAGCGAAGCCTCGCCCGCGACTCCGCTTATCCGTGGTCTCTCGTCCGTAAGCTCGCGCCTCGGCTGCCCAGCGGATGCGGGCCACGCCTGCCGCCAGTGCCCAGCGCGGTTCCGTGGGCAGTCCGGCGCTTGCGCGCTGCTTCGCGCTGGGCCCGTGCCTGGCCTGGCATCAGCAAGAGCCCGGGCTGAGTGTCCAAGGCTTCGAAGAGCTCCGGCAAGCTGACCTCTCAGCGAGAGCACAGCATGCGCAGCTGCACTCTGCAGGAGTGACACCATCTCTTCGCCAGAGAGAGAGAGAGACCGAGAGACTCTTCTTGCGTTACTTCCTTCATCTAATCACAGATGCAGTGGGCTTTTTTTGCTTGTGTTAGAATGGAATGTGCTTTTCTTGGAAGTTGACGCAACTCAACAAGGTACGAACGAAAGGAGCTAGAAACCCGTGAGGATGTGACGAATGAAGATCGGCGGATAAAGAGGAACGTAGTGAATGTAATGAGCGCTTCCTTTCCCTTTTTCATTTCGCTCCCGGCAAAGAGATCAAATCAAACTGGTGATAATTACGTTTTCCTTCCTTCTTGCTTGCTTGCTAGGCGACCTTCTCTCTCTCTCTCTCCACGGGGCATAGGGGCAGGTCAGTGCCCCCGGGCGCCAGGCCCACCCAATGTTTTATTGGGCGCAGGGGAGTAAGAAAAGAGTGTAGAACGTCAAAAGCTAAGGCCATACATTTATTCGCTGAAGGAGTTGACGATCGTACACTCACTGTAGACACATGCATAGGAACAGTTACGCTGACTTGCAAAGGAGTTTACAATAACACAGGAGTGACTACAACATGCACAGCAGCCAGTCCCCCGCATTAGTCAGCATAACACACTTCCCTTGGACATCGTTCCGAGCTCTTCAAGACTCTGTGGCGGCGATGGGTATTAAAACAAAGGCACAGCGCACATACGGAGCCCTAGAGAGCTAACATCTCTCTCTCTCTCTCTTTCTCTCTTCCTCGAGACCATATAACTCGATGCAAGATTTGGGCTCGAGGACCTGACGATGTCGCCCTGAACGGATCCGCTTCGCTGCAGGTGCCAGCGGACGCTCTCGTACCAGCGCAAGCCCTCCTCTGCAGCGCAGCAGAGCGACGGGCGCAGACAGAGACGCGCAGCGAGCGGCGCAGCGCGAGCGCAGGGGGCGGCCCAATGGGCTACGGCCACGGCCCCGTTGCCCCGGCTCCTGCTGCGAGAGCTCGGCCTGGAAGTGCTCCTCCGCGGCTGTCGCTGTGCCCCCTGTGCCCCGGACCAGAGCGCTCTCCTGACAAAGACAGAGGAAGGAAGACAAAGCGCAGAGCTGCACTGCGCCGAGAGCTGCGGAGTCCTCCACCATGACCTGAGCACTTTGGACCCTTTTCGCTCTCCACGAAGTGCGAAGTGGTCGTCTTTTAGGCTTCGATTGGGGCCTTGAGGACGCAGATGCAATGGCACATCTCGTGCACCTGAGATGCGGCTCAAAATTTGAGAGTCAAGCCTGGTCGCGCTTTCGTTCCCATCCTGGCTGTAGAGCAGGCAGTGGTCGTAATCGCTGTCAAAGGCCTCAAAAGAGGACTCCGACAAACTCTGCGTGCGGTCCTCTCTCCCCAGTTCCTCAAAGATCAGCGTCAGCTTCTCTCGCTTCGTCATCCCGCTCACCAGGGCCAAACCTGCAAGGTAGTGGCCTCGGCACTCAGGCCACCGCAAGGCCACTCAGGGTGGAACGGCCTTGCAGAAACACTCCCTTTTCCTCCCTTTTCCTCGGAGGTTGAAGCAGGCTCTTCCACGGTCGACAACCCCCGCGTGTCCAGAGCTTCCGCTCGCCACCCCCTTCACCCCCCGGAAGCAAAAGCCAGAGCGCCGCGGCTCTGCTGCTAAGTTCTGCACACGCCCTTTTGAAAAAAGAGGGGAAACGCGGCTCTGGGCTCTGCCTTGCCGGGCGGGGGCGAGTTCAAGAGCACCTCGCAGCCAGGCGCCGCCAGCCGCCGCCAGCCGCCGCAGGCCGCAGGCCGCAGGCCGCCGCTCGGAGGTTTCGCGTCTCCCGTCTCTCCGCTAGCGAGTCGCGTTCGTCGCGTTCGCGTCGCGTTCCGAATTTTTGAGGCTTCTAGAAAGCGGAGCAACTTCCCTTCAGTGTCGTGCTTCACAGCTGCGAAAGAACTTGAACCCTGCAACTCTCTTGTTGTCATGGAATCATTCATGAGGCCGAGCACAGTGTCGGAAGAGGCAGAAGCATGGGAGATAGAGATAGAGGGGCACAGGTGAATCGACGTCGCTGCTTGGATTCAGAGTCGCCCTGCTGTCCGCGCTAAGAATCTCTCCAACACCCATTGAGTCCCATGAGAAGGAGCTGGCCAAGGGGAGACAGGAACCAGCACCACTGCAAACAAAAGGAATTCAGACTCATGGATGTCAGACTCCGCGTGCGGCGCTTTCTCCCTATGTGGAAACCTTGGCGACATGCCCTGTGCACGCACCCGGTTGCTGCATCTGAGACCTCGGCTAGCACTCCAGTGACCAGCCGAAAGGCGGCAAGGACATCGAGAAAGCACCGTTCGCTCATCGGGCAGCCTTTCATTGACCTTCTTCCGCACTGGAAAGTGGCAGTGTAACACGAGCAGCAAGCACCATCCAGCAACCCTGCAGCCCCAACCTGTGGGCCAAATTAGATCTGTGGCGGGTCCAGGGATGCGGCGACTTCTTGCGTAAAGCGTCAAGTTACAGGTTGTGCCCGTGTGCCCCCACCGAAGCAACGGAAGCCACGGTCCGTTGCGGAAAGGAAGCAGTCGAGAATGAACGCGCGAGCCGCAGCCAGTGGGGAGCCAGCATCTTTGAATCACAGTTGCTACTTGCCACAAGTCCTCCTTCAAAACCCACTGTACGAGACAAAGCAGGCATGCTCCGGAGCGAATCGTCGATGAACGTCTGGCATGCGGTGTTTCTGAGCTCCCGGCATAGCGGCAAAGCGTTTTCCACGAGGCCAAGGCTACGGCGAAAGGTTTGCATGCGCTCAAAGATCCGCAGCATGTAGAGCACCTCGTGGTCCTTCCGCTCTGCAGCCGCTCTGTGCCGTCCTCCGATTCCTGTCGCGACTCCCGCCTGGAAGATCAAGGTGGCCTGGGCAGACAAAGGGCTATACAATGTAACTGCCGAGGAGCAGAGTGAGGCTTTGGCTTCGGGGTCCACCAGCACCCGAAGCAGGGAGGATGTGGTCACCGTGAGGTCTTCGGACCGCGTGCTGAGAGCGAGAATGAGGCAGAGAGTCCGAGATCCGAGGCCACTCAAACCGTAATATCCTGCCGGGCCCTGCCGCGCCCAGCCTTCCGAGTCGCTTCAAGAGCAGCTGCCAGAAGTCTCGCAGGAAGCTGCCCTGAGGGCACCGAAGAATCTTTGTGTTGGCGAGCTGCAAGGGCGGCTGTGGGCCTGCAGCTTCCGCTGAAAGCGATCCACGGCCTGAGCGCGAAAGTCCGCGCTCACCTCACAGAGGCGCCTGAACAGCGGGGCACGCGTGTACAAAAACGCGACAGGTTGCGGAGGAAGCGGACTGCGAGCGCCCCCCCCCCGTTGAGATGTAACCTGGGCGTGTATCCCCTCGCTAGGCGTACAGGAACACCGGCTCACAGGAGTCTCCTTTTACTACAGGGGTGCAGTTTTAGATCGTACTCTGTTAGAACCTTGGGCAACAAGCATGGATACATGCAAGTGATACGTGAAACAGACAAGCACCTGGATGTGTAACACTCAGTGTTTCACCCAGGCACAAATTTAAAAACATGTAGGATTGCATGGCCGTGAAGTCGGCATTCTACTTGCCTGTTATTGCCCAAGCGAATTAAGAGCGGAGTGATCGGACTACAATGTGACTTACGGAAATCTATACATCTCAGCCTGGAAACAACATATATGAAAGCAGAACACGCGCAAAAACGCAAACGGATCTTCGTTCAATACTTTTGCTCAAAAGTTTGCCCACATGTTCAGTTCCCTTTCCTTGATGCCAGCAATGGCATGATGCGGCTTCATGTTGACAAAGTATCTTTTCCTGAGAAAAGTATCTCCTATTGTCTAGACATAGGCTTTGAGACGATCGGAAATCGCAGTACACTGAGATACCTGCTCCTGTGAGAAGCATTCCTCTACGTGTTCTGAACGATCACATGCCCTCTCTCCGTCTCATATCAGCTTCGTAGGCCATACGCAAGGGATCATCATGATGATAATACCAGCGTTGAGGCTCTTCAGTCTGAGAAATGAAACGAAAAGAAGGATCCAGGTCACAAGGAGGTACTGGCGTCGAAGGATCATAGTTGAGGTATATGACATCCGACGACCAGTTGTAATCGTAACCAGGATTGACCATGTCATCATCGTGACCTAGTCAGTTCTTCCCTTTGCCCTTGCCTTTGGACTTGTCTTTGGACTCGTCCTTGGACTTGTTTTTGGAAGACTTGCCTCCTTTGTCGCCCTTGCCGCCTTTTGCTTTGCCACCAGGAGAAGGTTGTGCGGGTTCTGGAGGACGTTGAGAACCAGATGACGCTGCACCAGAGACTTCCTCTCCCTGTGGAGAGCTTGTCTCTGCTGAGGTGGTACCACCAAAGCCACGTGCCTTGTTCATCTTCTGTCTCGCCTTCCTCTTGTTCGCGGTCTCCTTCACGGTGTCGGGGTTCCGGTTGAAATCCTTTGGCAAGTGAACTGGTTCGCATGAACCTGAATCAGCAAAGAAGCGTGAGCTTCAGTGTCCCAGTCACCCAGCAAAAACGTTGGAATTGACGTGGTCGGTCATGCTGTGTCCCCATTCCAGAACAGAAGCCTCGTGAGAAACAGCAGGCTTTTTCGCCGCGATGACATTGTTAAGATGAAACATGCACACGCGTATGCGATGTGAGCCTGCTCTCTCCAGGGTGTGCATTAGAGATGAGTCCGGAATCTCCCCCTGTTGCCTTGGCTTCCAGGAGGCAGTGTTTTCCCGTAGATGATCTCCACAATCGTGTAAGTGAGAGGGAGATGCGAATGAGCTACCCCGACCAGTGTCGGTCGTTCTCCTCGTCGCGGATACCGGTGTGGTACAAGCCGCTGTACCCATAGCCGTTCTTCTGCTCCATAAGAAGACGCATAGGGCTCGTCTTCTCACGCTTGGCTATGGTGGCAACGAACTGTTTGTACTCAGCGGTGTCCTCGAGGCCGAGCTTCTCCTTGGCGCCCTCCATGTTCTCAAACGCGCTCTCGTTCTGGGCCTCTGCTTCCCTCGCGGCCGCCTTACAGGCCTCCGGATCAACGACGTTCTCACACTTCCCCCAGATGCCTTGATCATGAAGAGTAGGTCCACCATCCTTATGTGCCTTCAGACTTTTTCTTCTTTTTCTTCTCATCTTTATGTTGGGATCGAGGCACTACAAACACGACAGCCTTTGACTATGCGGTCGTACTTGTCATAGATCTC